GGGGGGGGGTGCGACAAGAAACAGCCAGAGAGGTTCCACCTAGCGATTACATAACACTTCCTGTGCAGGCAGAACACTGTGGCCATGTGGTGTTCTCTTGAGTCATTCTGAGTCCATGCTTTGAGAGAGTAACATTGACTCCATACCACAGCTTATACAGTGTTTGCCTGATCTGTTTTATTACAGAAATGTTGTGTTTCATTTACTTGGATGAATGACTGAAAGGAACTTTTAATATTTGTATCATGTACTGAAGATGTATTTGCACTTGCATGTACATGTACCTTGAGGTTTTTAGAATTATGGAATTTGGGATTTGGCGAAACGGAAAATACCCATTTTTGAAATGGAAAATCCTTGGCTCTACATTACACTTGAGGGTATGTTTATTCCAGTCAAACTCATCTGTTTATTCAAGCCCCAAAGCCCTCCACTCAGTATTGAGTTCCAATCTGTAAAAAAATGCCCCACAAAAAGTCAACTTTGATGACCAACCCCCCCATACTAAACTTGCCTTGATTTCAAGTTGTTGTTAAACAGAAGCAATTTGATTCAAACAGAGGAAAGTGGCCTGCTATAATTTAAGGGGCCCATGGAGAACACTGTGATACCCTAACTTTGGATGGAGGTTATAACGCCAAGGATGAGTGCTTAGTTTGGTTTTTGCGTGATTACATGATAACAACATGTACAGTGCACTACAAGCTACCAGTATGCCATGTAGCTGTAAATGGGCACCAAGTTCAACCCCTGATCACAAAGGGATTTTCCAATCATGGTTGTACGTTTTTAATAACAGTTCTATAACCTTCCACCCCATCTAAAGAAATGGTTAAGCATATGGGCCTGTATAAACATGTGTATGAAGTCTACAGTGTTATCATTGCATAAGAAATGTGAGGTTGGCTAGTGAAAGCTCTAATACATGTACATGTATTTCAGAAACTTGTAAGCATGATTGTTTAACTATTTCCAAATTTTAACGGGAAATTCTATCCAACATTTTGCCTCTAGTATGTTTAATTGTTTAGGTTTTACAGGTCCTTTTGTGCTATAATTTTACTTGGCACATCTTACATGTACATGTATGTGCGTAAAATAATCTTTTTTCCTTTCAAATACAATGTATTTCGTACATAGCGCGTAGCCATGCTTTTGCCGAGTTGTCCAACATCTGGGGCATTAAGACATAGTATCTACAAATTCACATGCTGCACACAATTGCCCACTTGGTATCATCAAGTGAACACAGCTTGAGTCCCTAACTTGCAACCATTGCTATGATATCTAAAATCAAAGAAGCACTAATCATGACCCTATTACTGCAAATGCATGCATACTGAATTGGAAAGGTATGAAAAGTTTCTGGAAAGTGGAAAAATGACAATATGTCAGGCATTGGTATGCCTCAATAAGCCAAACCCCGGAAACGATCGGAGCTTTTTTGTAATTCCGGATCCAAAGAAATGCCTAGAGATTTGTAAGAAATGGCTTCACAGCATCAGGAACACCAAATTCGACTTTAAATCGTTCGTGCCGAGCAAGGCGTTCATAGTCTGTGAAAAAAACTTCGAGCAGGACTGCTTCGAAGAAAACCAGCAAGCGGAACTCCTCGGTTACAAACATGGAGTGAAGAAACTGAAACCTGACATGGTGCCGACATTTTTTGTTTTTTTAGAAAAAAAAAACATCCTTGTGAAAGATTTCTTCAAAGGCCCTTTCAAACGTTTATTTTTCTGGACACAGTATTAAAATACACCTGTACATGAACAAGTGAGTGTGCACTGCGTGATCAGCTGATGTAAATGTTTAGGCTGGTACCAATTTGTACCACAACAATAATGCATAACTCTATAGCAATTGTCTGGGTGCACGACTGATATATTACATTATGTATTCTGCAGTGCTGACGTGACGTAAAAAAATCCTGGATGTGGCATGAATTTGAATTATTTGGCTGTGCTCATTAGCATGTAAAGAGGGAACATTTTACTTTATCATCTCATTAATTGGCAGGGGGCATAAGTAAAATTAGAGATTCTCTGACACATGCTCTTCATGAGAGTTGAAAGAAAAATACAGCCCAAAATTCCCCTTTAAAGAAGTATGGACCGCATTAAGACTCCCAAAATATGAAAATGTTCGAGGGCACATGGGTGCCTTCGAGTTTTTAACATCAGAAATAATCTCTTACCAGCTCTTTTAATGATTCATCCTCAGAACCGCTAGTAGCTGCCGGGAAAGCTACTTGATTGCTCATTGTGCACACAGGCTGAAAATCTGTCATGTAAAAAAATGGAAATACTGAAGGTACACTCAGCACAAGGATTTTCAAATCCAAGATAAACTTGTTTAACCGCAATTTAGTGATTAAACCATTTATTTCCTAGGCATTATTTTTCAATTTAGTGAGCAAACAATTTTCTTTGACCTACATGTATGGTACATGCAATGTACAGTGGACTTGAGCAACATACGTCAGTGGTGAACATGGAGTCACGCGTTTAGAGCCTGGAGCCTACAGGAGTCTAAAAAGTAAGAACTTTAATTAGGTCCTTGTTGGTCTGTTCTACAAGTCGGCCTGGCCGGATCCGAGTTATATGAACTGGTCTGCGTTGGAGGAGGCTTGGTCAAACTTACCGTTATTACCCAAACATTCCACGAACACCTGAGCAAACAGAACATTTAGCATTACGATGAAGATTGTTGACCTTGGTGTGGACCCTTAAACAAAGGTGTTAAAAACAATGCCGGCTTAATAGTCACATAAAAACATTTCCATCTGCAACATGCGATTTAAGTAGATGTTACATGTGCACCTGGGGAACATAAAGCTTCCTGTGAATTTACACCGGTGCAGGATTGGTATTCCCAAGGAATTTAAAAATTCAGCAATACATCTAATAATGATGTCCACCTGTAATTATACCATCTAAACACACACTACACGTACATTGTAACCTGTACAAGGAGTAAATGTACATACATGTACCGGTACATCGAGCACAGGTACACAATGCATACAGTGTGGGTCTGCAGATCGCAATATACAATGTACATGTATCTTCAGTAATTTTTTTTTCAATAGAAGAAATAAACATATATGTAATCACCGTGGTAGATGACGAATATAGAGAAAAAGATGATCGACGACTCGCGATGTTGTCATGTTGCTGGTAGCAACGTTTCGGCTGCTGGTGCTGCTAGCCTTCATCAGGCAACTGAAGTCTGGATGCTGCAGAGTCTGCTATATACCGCTGGACCGCATCCTCTGCGTGCCCCCCGCCGTGTACTGCAGATGTAGTACGTGTGATCTCAGCGGGCGTTGCACGTTCCACTCCATGGGCGTGAAGGGGCGTTTCCTCGGTGTAGCTCCGTTGTTTGTGTTGACCGATGGTGGGGAGCCAGAACCCGGGGATGTTGATGCCGCTGTCCCTGTTGATGCTGTGTCGGTTGAGGTGGATGTGGATGGCCTCCTTGATGCATTTGGTGTACCAATGCTGGTCCTGGTTCACACACTGCACGCCATTCCAGTTAGGGTGGTGACCAGCTCTCCAGGTGTGTTCGGCTACCACTGACGAATCCACACGGGAGATTCTCACATCGTGCTGGTGCTCCTTGATTCTCTCGCTGACGGGTCTGCCAGTCTCGCCGATGTACACCTTGTCGCAGTCACCGCGCGGTATCGCGTAGACTACTCCTCTGCATCTTCCAAGTGGGATAGGATCCTTAGGGCGCACGAGTTGGCTCCTCAAGGTGGTGGACGATCGGAACACGGTGCGGACACCATGGTCTTCCAGGATCCTCTTCAGCCGTCCGGAGATACCGTCCATGAAGGGAATTGTGAAGGCCTTGTACTCCGGCCGCTCCGCTTCGGTGCTGGTCTTGGATCTTGATGACTGCCGGATGAAGGATGTTGGGTACCCGTTCGCCATGAGGGCAGCGGTAACTCGGTGTCTCTCAGCAGGGGGCACGTGGAAGACGCGGTCCAGCGGTATATAGCGGACTCTGCAGTATCCAGACTTCAGTTGCCTGATGAAGGCTAGCAGCACCAGCAGCCGAAACATCGCTACCAGCAACACGACAACATCGTGAGTCATTGATCATCTTTTTCTCTATATTTTTTTTCATTATCAGCTGGTCGACCAAATTAACTTCCAGGCAAATTCAGCACATTAGTAAATATTTATTCTATCATTTGAAGGGCAATTCAACATCTCTCTAAATGAATCCCCAAGGGTTGCTGGCCCTACCCTTGTGCACAGAGGCTGTTGGACTTTGTTTTTCTGAGGTACATGTATA